CCACCGGACTTTTGTCTTTCTAGCCACGTTTGACCCAACGCTTCAATCTGAAAAACTTTTTTTTGTTAAATGTCTGCTCATAAGAAGTACTTTACCTGTGATGGCAAGAGAACTAGAGCTATGCAAATAAACGATACTACGCAAAGTCGCGACATCCATGTGTCAGGATACCTGCAGTGAAGGGAGTAATTGGGAAATTTTGAGACTTTAAGCAGAACTTTTGGATTAGGGATAAGAAGGTTTTTACTTACCAATCACCATAGCCAACAGTTGAGAATGTGACCATAACAAAGTAAAAACTGGTAAATAGGTCAAATTGTCTGTCTCCACCTCGCTGTAGATGTTCAATGCTGCACATACCTACAAGAGAACTTATTGCGAAACTTTTGAAGTTTCTATTTGACCAGTAAAAATTACCAGTAAAAATCAAACAAAGCATGATAGAGAATAACAATAGGAGCTGTCTGAAGAGAGCAGATTGATTCATGAAAGAGCCGCGGTTAAGATCATTCTAAAATTTTGCACATTATTGCAAGGTTTGATTTCTGAAAAGCAAGAATGAAATATCAGACCATCATCGCTTGCAGCGAACCCTTTGCAAGCCAGCAGTTAAGAAAAACTGGCACAAATAGGCGACGCAGCTTTGGTTGAAATATCTAAATGTAGTGGATGTACCTTTTGGGAGATTGCATAACTTTGACTTGCTAAAAAGGAACTTACAGTGATAGCGAAGGGGAAGCTCGTAACAAGCTCCAACAAAAAATGTACATTAATAAGAAGCCGAAAGATGTTACCCTGAAATAAACATGCTATCTTACCATTCATATCATTCAAACAATCTAGGCTGTTTAATTACTTTTCAAATAGTTATTCGTATATTTGAAATCTCACCAGTCTATAGGGAGCATATACCTGGTAACTTATGTAGAAGATGATAACAGTCTCAAATATACTAATAAACGCAACGATGGTTTGTGCCAGCCATAAATAATCGTTCCTATCGACCCACAAAAGGTACTCACTGAATGGACCGATTATAAATGAGAATTTACATGGTATCTGTTTGACTCACTATTTGATCTCTCCTTCCGGTCGTTCCTTAGCTTTTACGAAATCAGGCAAAGTCCTGTTGTCGTTAATTACCCGTACACAATA